GAAATTACTGCAGAGCTCAATGAACTGATAACCCAGGGAGGCAAGTTCCCTCTAATGAACTTGGCCACATACTGAAGTTCTGATTCACGCAGGACACAGAGCATGCTGGTCTGCAGCGTGGGGCAGGGAGATAGGAGTCAGAATTCGTTCCTGGCCACCACGGAGCATATCACTAAGGTGAATGATCTACAAAGGCTTCTCTTCAAGACTAAAGGATTCAATGTCATCTCTATACGTAGTCATATCATTCTTTAGAAAATAAAAGGCAGATCTGGAACATCAGTCATTTCTGTACCAAAAACAAACTCTGTAGACAAATACCATCTTGGTGGTATTTCGCTGAAGGTAAATAGGTTATAATAAGAACATGAGACTTATTTTAGTGAAGTAGCTTTGGTCAAAATGGCCAATGGAATTTCTCCAAATATCAGTGCATCAGAGGGTAATGTAATGGCTTTAGAATCTTGGTGTGTATAAGCATCGACCAGGGGTATTTGTTTAAAATGCTGAAACCCATCCAAGTGACCTGGATTCCCCAGAAGTGTTGTAACCTTGGGAATCTTGACTGTTCTTGAAACCATAGTACATACAGTGGAAACATTACTGACATAGAAGTGGGGTTCTAGTCTAGTTACAGAGTTAACTAGAGAAATGAGGCAAGTCTTTTAACCATGCTGCATTCACTTTTCTATTTTAAAGTAAAGATGCTGAACTTTAGATAATCTTCAAGGTTCACTGAAATTCTAAATGTCTCAGGGGTAAAACAAGCCTCAAGTATCCCATCTTAAGTTAAGGTCTGATGCTATTCCTGAAGCTTTTATAATAATGTTCAGCAGCCCTGGCTGGTGTGGCTCAGTGGATTGAGCGCCGGCATGCAAACCAAAGGGTTGCCCCTTCAATTCCCTGTCAGGGCACATGCCTGAGTTACAGGCCAGGTCCCCAGTAGGGGGCGCACAAAGGGAAACCACACAATGATCTCTCCCCCCCTTCCCTTCTCCCCTCTAAAAATAAACACATGAAATCTTTAAAAATAAAATATTTTAAAAAATAATAATGTTCAAGAAGCAGAAACTGAGTCTTGATTGTTTTAGGAGCCACTATATGCCACTGGTTACTTAAATGACTGAAAATAATACTGGAATCTGAGTTATGACACTAATTAATAATAATAATGCTAAGCTGTACTTAATGCGTGCCAAGCTCTGTTCTAAGTGCTTGACACATATTAACTCATTGAGGGGTTAAAAAGAAGGTAACAGAGGCAATCTGAGAATCTTGAAACCAGTGATGTGTGTAAGAGGGGATAATGTTGAATATAAAATTGTAACTTAATATTAACCTTTTGGCAATACTTAATAACAAACCACAACCATAAAACACTGATAGAATGACTAATGGGAATGGACCATATTGTGTGTGAACTAAATAATCTGGACTCCTAAACTCTGAACAACTTTCAACCTAGTGAAGAAATATCTGTTAGGACCATCCACCCTCTATGGAGAAACCTGCAGCAGTGAATGCATAAGGGTGTTTTCTCTGAAAATATAAGCAAGCATTAATCCCGACATTGCCTAACTCCTTCATCCATCATGATTTTAAGCATTATTAACCTCTAAAGTTAGGGCTTATTTACAGCACAACACAGCAAGTAGTTAAGGAATGAGAAACCACTCCTCAGTTTGTGCGACAGATGTCAGACTGCTGGACTAAAGAAAACAGGAACCCAAATGTGTTTTTCTTTAAATATTTAGGTATGCCACACTCAACAGAGGTCCCTACACGCTGACAATATGTTTAGAGAAGGTTAACAAGCAGGAAGACTCCTAAAAGAATATAAGATTCTGTATTTATGCCTACTAGAAAATTGTCACAAATGCATCACTGTTTTAGGTTTTCAAGAGAGCGGCAAGGCAGTAAGATGTACAAATTCTTTCCATTTTACCTTTGAAGAGGATGACTCAGAGAAACAATGATTCGATGAAGCAACGACTGGCCTATTCCCAAGGCCAACACAGGGACTGGCCATGTGTCAGAAAGATTGGATTAAATAATATTATACAAACGCCACTCCACCCTCAGCTACAACCGCAAGCTCAAGTAACCCTCTTCCGGCTGCACACACAGATTCCAGAGGTTAAAGCCAGAAGATAAATAGAGATGAGGGCACTGAACTTTGGAGAGGCCGAGCTGAAAATCCAGTTTGGAGAGACAGAGAACTGGAACTCTCTGCCTCCTAACTGACAGTTGGTAACTAGAGCCCCCACTACAAAACCTGTAACACAATTCAGAAAATAAGTCTCCTTGCTGCTTTCTTTCTTTTCATCCACTGGTGCACGCAGTATCCTCTAGGCCAGGGGCCCACCACCTACGGCCAGGGGCCCACTGTCTGTTTTTGTACAGCCTATGACAAAACCTAAAAGTAGATTTCACATTCTTAAATGACTAAAAAAAAGTTATCCAAAAAAGAGCATTTCATAACACATGAACGTTATATGAAATCCAAATTTTAGTGTCTACAAATAAAGTTTTCTTGGGACACAATCACACTCTTATTTCCTTATAGCCTCTGGCTGCTTTCACATTGTAATAGCAAAGTTGACCAGTTGTAACAGAGACTGTATGAATATGTCCCCAAAAGCCTAAAATATTTACGCTCTGCCCCTTACAAAAAGAGTTTGCGGACTTCTCTCTCCTGACCTAGTGAAAACCTACACAGCAAATCTGGCGCATGAAGAGTTACATGGGGAGGAGAGAGAAAGTGGAATGCAGGAAGAAACTAAAGCGTGTGTCCATGCCGTGTCCTTTCAGTCGGAGCCAACAGGGCAAATCTGGGAAAGCAACAGGCAGGAGGGGTAAGTGGTCAGATTTCACATCATTACACGCCCGTGAACACAGAAATCTCCACTATTTATACCTGACGATCGTCAAGAACTAAAAATTCCTCCACATTTGCTTTCTCCAACTGTATGAAGTGGTAGCAGACACAAAGCCTGAGGCACAGCTATCCCTCATCAACAAGCTGCAACGCTCTCACCTATCGCCACCCTTCTCAGAGCCCGGGTGCCAGTCCAGAGGAAATGTGCCCTGTTGTGTAAGTCCTAGGCTGGAAACCAAGCCCCGAGCTCTCACTGTAGCTGGGCCTCATCTGGAGCTAGTCATGTGACTCTCTGAATGTCTAATTCTTTTATCTATAAAGTGTGGCATGCTGACCGACCAGACCAGAGGAGTATTATCTCTCTCAACGCCTACAGCTAGAGGAAAAAAGAGAACAGGGAAGAGATGAGGGACTTTTTATTTAAAAAAAAAAAAAAAAAGTTCTGTTTTCTTCTTTGTAACAGACCAGATGCAGTTATGATAGAGGTATCTCTCTTCAGAAAGCAAAGGGTCGGAGGCTGAGCATCAGCCTGTACACAGTGACACTAACCCCCGCCATGTGTAGGTGGAGGGCTGAGAACAGAAGCACTTGAATTCAAGGATGTGAGTTTGTTCCTTCTCTTTTTTTAGGGGCTTCTGGAAACAAAGACACATGTACCCATGCAGGGTGTGTTCACTTTTCTTGCCCTAGCAGCAAAAGCAACATTTGTCTGAATAATGCTTGCTCTCCAAGTAGCCACCCAGACATTAGTCATGAGTGACATCTGTACCAAGGAGTGGGTCGCAGCAGGTAGCACCGCCCTGCCACTGCACTCCAATAAAACGAGGCTGGTATCACAGCTCATATACGTGAACCAGTTTGGGAGGGTACAGTGCTGTTTACCTACAGGTATAACTTTAAGAAAATATACCACTTAGCCCTGTGAAGAACAAAAACAGTGCACCATCATCTAGTCTCGACAAGGCAGACTGATTTTTTGAGAGGCAATATGATTTAGTCCAGTAAATTGATTTTCAGCTTCTAAAAGTTTTTTTTAATTTTTAACCAGTGTGAAATCTAAAACTGAAAATGTTTCTCTACAAGTTTCCTTGCTTTAAAAGAGAATAAAAGTAATTTCAAGAAACTTAAGAAAACCAGTTTTTAAAACTTACTGAATATCAAATACAGAATCACCATATGATGTAGGAAATCCACTACTAGGTATATGAAAACATATGTCCGTACAAACTTGTATACAAGTATTCAAAGCAATATTATTCGCAATGGCCCAAAAACAATCCAATGTACAATATGGTATATCCATACAATGGAATATTAGTTAATAATAAGAAATGAAATACTGATCAATGTCACAACACGGGTGACCCTGGACACAGTATGCTAAGTGAAAGAAACCAGTCACAGACAGCCACATACTGTAAAACTCCATTTATGCGCAGTTCCATAATGGACGAATCCACGGAGACAGATTAGTGATCGCCAGGAGCTAGGGCAGTAGGAGCAGTGAACTGGTAATAAAGGTGGGGTTTCTTTTGTGGGGTGACGGTAATCTTCTAAAATTAGACAGTGATGACAGCTGCACGACTCCGTAAATCTATTAAAAGCTTCACGTGAAGGGTGCATTTTATGGTATGTGAATTACATCTCAATAAAGCTGTTAGGAGAAAAACTACTAAGCATTTTTGCCATCATTAAATAGGACACACTTCATCTTGTATACAGATAATGATGAACTGTAAGTTAAAATCACATTTGTACTGGTGTCAGTTTCCACAGAAAGAAAAAAAAAGGAGATCCCTTTGGTGGTAATTCTCATTTTGTGACACATTAAACTTGATGACAAACTGAAAGTCTTGTGATCACAGGGAACATCTCTCTCATTACCATCTCCTAGGGATCCCTGCAGAGAGACCCACTATGGAACCCTGCCCGGTGGTGCGCACCGTTTATGAAAGCTTAACTGTAACAACACATCCAGGTTTATATGTAATAAAACAAGAGAGAAGGGAGAAAATACTACTGTGAAAAAAAATCCCCAAAACGAAAAAAAACAAGACGTAAATCAGACGCACCAGACCAGACTAACCACAGTTTGCACTGGCTCAGACTTGAGGCCACTTACCGCCTGGGTCTTCGGGCCTTGCCTGGCCACTGCAGGCATAGCGGCCGTGTCGCCTACAGCCACCTCCTCAGAAACCGAACTCCCCCTGGTGTCCCTCAGAAAATCCACTTCATCGTCAGCTTTGGTGTCCGGCATTTCTGAAGAGAACACGGGGGTTACAAAGGACAAATGAAAAATTGATCTCTGTGCCTATTTATACAACATGCTCCAGGTTTTGTGCATTTTGTTTGTTTTTGCTTTGGGGCTAAACGGAAAAATAATGCTTTTGCTTTCAGGAACTGGTATCATTTCTGACCTTTATCACATGGTTGTGTGGTTTCCCTAGCCTTCCTACGGGTCTTGTAGCTAAGGGAAGGTCCAGTGCAACGCCTGCTGAACTTCCATTTTCGCTGCTGACTTTTCATGACAAATCTGAGTGTGGTGCTGACTTACACGGGGAAAAGCACAGTCACAAGCTCGCAGGTAACAGAGTAACAGTTGAAACTGGGTGGTCCGTTCTGACCATCATCCTTTGCACAGGACAGGAAAGAAAGGACCACTGAGAATGACCCAAAGGCTGTAGGACGAGTCTTTCTTTAAAAAATACTGCATACATTCATCTACACAGAACTGCCAATGGTAAGACTGAACTAGTCTAGTAAGTTATTTTTTTGTTTTAACTTTTGTTTCTTCCCAAACCAAGACACAACAACCACAAACTAGCAGTTCCTTTTTTTTTTTTTAAGAAAAAAATTTTACGTGTCTTCTTTAGAATTATACTCAACACAGACCAAACAGTAGTGGTTCTTGTTACCTGACCACCATATGGTCAAGCAAATACAGGAAGGAAGTGATAAAATAATGTCCGAAGCCAATTTAGGCTTTAGCATTTCTTAGAGGGGGACTGGTGACTTACCAGCCAAATTCACCTTGATAATACACTTACAAATGGAACTATTGTCTCACTTCCATGTGGAAACTTTTCTGTTATTAATGCCACTGCTCTGGCAGAGAAAACTGTCACCTCCACCAAAAAGCAAAGAGGTTGCTTTCACCAAAGAATAAATTATGTGAAGATTCTGTTCTAAGAGCGCATTGTGACATATGCTCTTAGGTCAACCTTAGATTTAGCAAAGTTACATTTCTATAATCAAACATTATCTTTCTTTGCTCTTATATAATCTCACTAGTACTTTAAAAACAGGCAAGGAAACCAAGCACCAAAATCTGTCCTAACAAATGTGACTGAATTTTGAAAATCTGACCAAGGGATACCCTGACCAAGTAATACCCTTAGAAGTATTCCTTGACTGAAAATAATTCCAAGTGAGTCCGAGTATTTTTTTTTATTGTTTTGAGTTTCATTTTGTTTATTTGGGGATGTGATTTTTGGCACAACCTTGCTATCCTAGACCCACCGACTGATAATACGTATGTTTGGCAAGCAGCAACCAGTCACAGTGGTAAACAGTGATTACCGAGACCTGCGGGTGCTGGCAGCCTCTGCGCCCGGCCTGCCTCGGGCACTGACACCCAGCTGCCCAGGGCACTGCGATCAATGCTCTCGACGGGTGAAGGGCCCCATGCCCTCTCTCTGACTGCAGGCTGTGTTCGCCCATTCCAGTTTCTCTCCGGCTTGGTCTACAGCAGCATACAGAAAGAAGCAGAAGCCAGGGCCACGGGGCTCCTTCCAAACCAGCAATTAAAGTCATGTCTCTTCATTCACAAAACAGGATGGTTATATTCATGATGGAATATACACTTCCTAGAAAAATACCCTGTTGCTCTGAGATCACACTCAGGTGCTTTTCTCCAGGGCAATGTGACCAGGGACTTTCCCCAATCCAGGCTACTTTCTGAAGAAAGCACAGATTTTCACCACTGGCTGCGGGACCATGAGCCCTGGGCACACATGACTCCTCTTGGCAGCAGGACCAGAGGCCCGCCCACACACATCAACAAACCCCAAATCCAGAAGTACGGCTGAAATGGCATTCATCTCGTTTCCTTCCTAAAACCTTGAAATTTAAAAAACCATTTCTTAGCATCTTCACTGTCTTTACGTGCTAATAACTATCAAAGTCTGACATTCTCCCTAGAGTCCACCTTTGCTCACAGGGCACTGGAGACACAAAGCTCATCCAGTTCTCACTTGCTCGGGTTAAGTCCTGATTACTAATTCCAGCCCATGTGGCCAAAGACGCAGTGCCCGAGTGAGAGGAACACAGCCAGGCATCAGCTTACAGCCCTGCCCATTCCTCTGAAATGTCAACCTGCCAGGGCCCCCAAAATAGACTTGTTGTTGTATCTTGTTTTAAAAATCAGAGACCTTCTCATTTAAATTCTGAGATAGCAGCCAACAAAGTTCTATCACTAACAACCAAAACAATAAACTGAAATCACCAAAAAATACTACCACAGGTTTCTTAAATCCCTCAGTTGGTGGAGGTGGGGTGGGGGGTGGTAATTATAAATGATTAAAAAAAGATTAATCGGGGAAAATGACAAACGTGTTTGCATTGCTCCATTTCCTCAGCAACTTCTTTTCTCGTTCTATTTGTTCAATTGTCTACACAACCCACCCCCACACCCTCAACACATACTGCACATAAAGGGATTTTCAAAAATTAGCAATAACACAATCAAACAACAAAAAGAAAACGGGCTAGTTCTTACCTACAAAAGCCTGGGGGCAAGCATGGAGGCGGGTCCCCGGCCCACACCTGGTAGCAGGTGGTAGTGTCACAGTGAACCGCCCTGACCTTGGAAGGCTTCAGGAGTAAAACCGACTCTGACTCCAGTTTCAGCTTCGGCCTCCACCCCCAGCAAGAAGTTTTACTCAGAGAGCTGACTTCCACCGAGCAGTGGTGGTTGGTTTCTCTTTGCTCTCTCTGGGCATGGCTACCCACAGATGGAACCGGCTGCTGTGTGAGCAATCAGCTCGGCGCAGCTGCTTCACCAAGATAAGCAGACACCACGTCGGCCCTGTGACAGCGGCTCGCAGACTGGGCTGGGGCGGAAATCCTGCATCCTATCCCTGCATGGTGCAGGGTCCTGCATTCCCAGACTGCTGCCCCAAAGCAGCAGGCCACGGGGTGGGAGGTCTGCTCCTCAAGCAGGAAAAGGAGGGAGTTCCCTTCCTCCAACCCTCACCAATGACCTCATACCACCATTTGGGATGTTGGGCCACTGGCTCAGAAAGACACTTATAGCTATTCATGAAACCACTCTGACTCTAAATTTGCTCAGAACACAGACTAGGATGACACGGAGAGGAAGGAGTTTTAGGCTTGCAAGTACAACCCTTTTTTAGCACTGTTTTTGATGGTTCTAGAGAATAGGACTAAGCCACGAGCATTAAGGCACCTGCTCAATCCCTTCAACATTTCAGAGCACCAGGGAGCTAGCAGAGAGGGTGTTGCAGGTTAGAGCACCAGGGAGCTAGCAGACAGGCTGCTGCAGGTCAGGAAGGCTGCAACTGCTCCTGCGTGACAGACGAGCTTTTGAAGACTTCAGCAATCAAGCCAGGAGTGTACACCAGGAAGCAAAATCTGTTCGACCCTGAGGTGATGTGCCTCTTCTGACTGTGGCGACTGTTAGCTTTGGCGACCTACCCAAGGAACATAAGACCTCTGGACAACAAAGACACCTGTATTTCTACCAGCGTATCACAGAGACTCAAGGGATTTGGCTCTCAAGTTGTGAATTTTGTATTATGCTTTGCTCACCTGTTGCCGGCTCAGGTCCTTGACCAGGCTGAATTATCTTCTCTGGCTCCTCCCTTCCAGCAATACCTTCTGAGGGGTTCCCAGGGGCTTCTTCATGAAAACTGCCCATGTGTGTGGACTCCTCAGGAGGGAGAGTGATCTCTTTCCCCACAGAAGCGCTCTCCAGCTGTTCAGTCCCTGGACCTGACTTTGAAGGACTAGCCGGTGACACGTGACTGATTTCCCCCTCTGTGAGCAGGGCGCCTGAGGCCCTGACCCGTTCTATGACAGCATCCACTATACGACTGGCAGCCTCCTCGATCGAGTCTGCTCTCTGAGGCAGAGGTCCGGCTCCAGCAGACACAGCATAAGGTACAGGGGGAGCCCCCCTGTCCCTGCACGGGGCCTTGTCGTCACTGGTGGAGAGCCCTGTCTCTGCGGGGAGCTCTCTGGCAACGGGCTGCGGTAGGACGTGGCGTGCGTCATCGCTCATTTGCGCACCCTCGGCGTCGCCCATGCTACAGCTGAGGCTGGCTCTCTCCCGCTTCCCTTTCTCCCAACCAGGAGTCGCCACCTCTGGGGGTGCAGCAACTGCAAAGTCAGTCTCACCTTTGTCTGGTAAAACAATGGGCAAACCCTGGATCACACTGTTCTCTCGGTTCAATGAGACTCCTGGGATCCGGAGGTCTTGTGCGTGGCGTGATAAATCCTTTCTTCTGGCTTCCACAGTTGCTGGCAGAGCATTAACCACGGCAACATCCAATGCCATATTTCCACTCGCCTCACAAGCAGTGGTCTTCCCCTGGGCTTGAGTGTTTTTCACGCCAACATTCAGAGCGAAAGCTCCATTGCAATGAAGAGCCTCAGACCCACCTGGTAATAGGCCTGGTGGCAGAGGTGAGCTGCTCTGCTCTGCACCCAAGGCTTCCTGGCTTGGGTCTGCGGCCAGACTTGCTCCCGGTGGCACCGGGCTCTGTGCAGCCCCACCTTCAGTCAGTAGTGAGACTGGTGGGGCCACTTCCTTGTTATGTTTAGTTTCTGCGTTCAGACAGGCTGAGGGTGTGTCCCGCGAGTGACTGTGTTCACGCACTTGTTCCTCGGCACAGGCAGCTGAGCTAGGTTCTCCATGGGCTCCTGGTAACTCCTGTTTAGGAGGGTCTGTTCTCTGCTCTTCTCGCAACACTCCTGAAGGAAAAGTGTCTTCCTTAAGGGAGGAACAAATCACTGCTTTGAACTTGTCGTCTTGTCCCTGAGCTGCAGAGTGTTCTGGAACCACCAGCTTTCTTCCTTCTTCAGTCAAACTGGAATCAGAAGCCAAAGGGGCCTTACCCATATGTAGCCCGGCAGAGTCAGTGTCCCCCTCGATGTTCAGAACTTCTGGGGCTGCTGAAAGGCAGGCACCCTCCTGCTCCCCACCAAATCCTATAGGGCTGGTGTTCCCCATGCTGGGCTGAAGATCCAGGGCAGTGGATGTGGGCAGGCCTGCTGCACTGTCTTCTAGTGGCTGCTTATCTGGATCACTCGAATCTCCGCCATCTCTACAATCTGTAGCGGTACGTGGTTCAGGAGTTGCTGTTCCCTTTTCTTTCTGGGAGGGGACAAGTGCGTCATCTTTGGTTACTGATTCACTGCCTGGACTCCCAGCCAGAGAGCAAGTCCTGCCTGATGACACGGCCTGGTCTGGCACTGATTCTTCCTTTGCTTTGGGGAAAATGGCATGTGGATGCGGAACCACCTCAAGCATATTTGGTAAAGATGTTTTTAAGTTCAAATCTCCTGCTTGGCCCTCTTTATCTGAAACTTCAAGAGGACTAAAACCCACATCTTCCTGGGTGCCTCTTACAGAGTCAGGGGTGGCTTTGTTAGCCTGTGGGACTTCCGAGAAGACCGCAGTGGGCGTATGCTGCGCATCGGGCGGTCCTGTGGTGGTGCTTCCAGGCTGGGTAACTACGCCGTCACAGTGCTTTGAAGCTAACGCACCCCTAGAAGTCACTGTGCCCTGTCGATGGGCAGAGGCAGCACAAAGTTTATCGTCACCAGTTGCAGAGCAGATGAGTGGTTTGCCGTTTTGGCTCTGAACATGAGATGAATTTGCTTCTGATTTCTGGTTTGGCATAACATCTTTCTGTGGCCCAGGGAAGGCTGAACCAGAGAGCGACACTGTCCCGCATGTGTTTGCTAAGGGAGTGTGTGGTTGGAAGCCGTCTGCAATCTTGTCATTTGCAGCAGCTGGAACGATGAGTGGGTTCTGATCTGCTGCAGCACCCACGCCCCCTTCACAAAGTCTTGAAGTTTCAGTTTCTGCAGTTTTTTCAATAGAGGTTTCTCCATTACTCAGTTCAAGAAAAGACTCAGCAGGTTTGTCACCACCCAGGGGCCTGGTGGCAGAAACACAGTTTGAAACAACGGCTTTATCCACAGGTTTCCTTGTGCCGTTTACATCAGAGGCTCCAGCGGTGCTGACATTGGAGTTCTCAAGTCTCTCCTCTGTACTTTGCCCAACTTCGAGCACCTTTTTCTGGGTGGTGGTATCTGGGTTCACGAGATCACATTCTGAGACTCCTGAAGCCTCTGGGACGCCAGCATCTGCTGCTGCACTGACAACTACCAGTTCACCTCCGGGGAAATGCTTGGCTGTGCCTGGTTCCGTGACTGTGATTCCTGGCAGGACACTCTCTCCACTGCTCTGAGACTCGTGAGCTGTGGCCACTGCAGCAGATTTGGGTCTAGTTTCTTCACTTCTGATTTCACAGGATGGAAGGCCTTCTGTCCCCTTCCTTCCACAATCAGACATGCTCTGAAGGCAGCTGTAGGGATCAGACACAGTTTCAGAGTCCACAGTAGGTGCTGGCTGCGTCTCTTCCTCTTTTTTCTCCATGCCTTTATTTTTCTTCCTACAGGAACAGTCTGTATTCTCTTCCTTAGCCACACTGGGTAAATCGGAGGAACATTCCCTCTGCCCCACAGTGGTCCCTGAGCAGCATGGGGAGCTCTCAGCATCTGCAGGGGAAGAAAGCTGCTGGCTGTCTGTGGGCATGGATGCGCAGGGAACAAGTGAGCCATCTGTGTCTTGGGCAGTGGGCAGACCTGAAGGGTCCTGTGCTGTCACCATTAAGGGCATAAGATTGTCCATCTGCTTGAGGTTTGTTTTCTGGGAGGAAAGGAAAGATAGTTTGTAAAAAACGGTTCATGGGAAAAGATGTCAGTGACACCTATAAACACAAAGCCTGTTGGACAGAACTCACTACCACCCCAGCCCTTCTTAGGTCACACAATAAGCTGATCTAAATAAATACGAATAAAGTTTCTCTGGTTCCTGATATCCCTTTCCTCCCTTGTAGCTACATATCCACTGGAATGATAAAAATGGTCAAGAATATACAAGATGACTATTTTCTGTGTTATAAACGTATTTTACAAAGCAGCTTAAAACTGAGCATCAAAAACCTTCTTTTTCAAAGCACAGTGACTATCTTCAAATGAGCAATTGAGAAAGATATTTTTTAATCAAGTCTTCAGCGGTGACTTCTGTCCTGCCTCACGTGTAAGTGGAAGCAAACCCTAACCAGCTGGGTAAACGTCCTGTAATCACAAGGCCCAGGCAGAAGCTCTGGGCCCCAAAGTCTTACTGAGGAGATGCACAGTGTCCTTTAAGCCCCAGAATATGATCCAGTCAATCTAGCCCAACAATTTTAGTTCTGTGTCTTAATTTCAAGAACAGTGGCATGGCAGATATTCTTTTATTTTCCAATAACATCAGTTCCTCTGTTGTCTATTACTAACTAAATAATATCAAACTAATAATACCTAAATCTTGATTATTCTCAGAGAGTTCTGTGGCTTCAGAATATTCTAGCTCATATTAAAAATAGTTTCTGCAACTTTAAAGAATTTTAAAAAATGTAAACAGATTTAACCACTCCATGGTAATGGTTAAAATAATCACGGTTGATCAAACTGACAGAAAATGCCATGCCATATAAAAATATTAACTACAAAGACCAAAGTGAATCAGAAAAAAATAATTATAACATGATGTGGAAAAAAATTCAATCCTTGATCTAAAGTTATAATTATGCAGAAATCACATACACATGTAGACAAGGCTTAGGAAAAACGGAGAATAAACAACTACAGATGATCTTTAAGGCAAGTGTGCCTTTATATCACAATTTCAGGAATTCTTATAATAACCCTGTTCAGTACATAAAAATTATTTTTAAAACAGCCAGTTTGCCCTTAACTCATTATGTGATGTTTTGCAATAATTTCATGCACAGTTACTGTCCACTGTCCTCTCATCCATTTCCCCACTCAGGAAACATACCGAGTACTTTCAGTGCGCCACCATCAGAACACTGTTCCTGCCTACACACTGGGCCTATGGTAAGAGTTCACACCCACAAATGTAAAATGGGTTACGTTCACTGAAGTCTTTCCAGTGAGACAGTACCGGGAAAATGGATTTCTCCTAAAAGCATCTGTGCTATGCTCCTTAGCATATTCAAAATGACCTTGCTTCCATTCCTAGTAAGAGTGTAACGGTTTCCTAAAAAATTACGAAAGCAGTTCATTAAATTTAATAAAGGGTGAACATTCTAGAACAGAGGTCTGGAGAAGAAAGTGGTGTTCCTTGAGAAATGGTAGACGTTCCTAACACATGCCTCGTCTGACATCTTTCATTTCTCATGATTTCTTGTCCCATACCTTGCAGGTACCTTTGACACATGCAAACTGGTATTTCAATTGGACTGTAATTTTTCCAGTAAGAAAAGCTCTACAGGAAAATCTGAGTCCCTGGAAGTCAGGCAGAGGAAAATAAAACCCCTGCTCTGGAGCAGACATGAGTCGGAAAGGCAGAGGCAGCTCCTCGTGCAGCCCCACCACGAAGTACGTCGGCCTGGCCCCAGGAACAATGCCTGCTCCCAAAGAGGCCTCTGGCACTGAGCTGACCCTGGATGACCTTAAATGAAATTATTGTCAAGATTTTTCCAAATCAAATCATCTCTGAAATAAACTGGGTGGAAAAATGATCTAAACTTAGCCTTTCAGATGTTATGGCCAGGAGAGATGTATCCATGTGACGTTTATATTACCCATAATAAATACTACCAGGGAGTCTGTAATGTTTTTACCTCTGGCAACAACTTCATCTTGAAGGCTTTGAGTGGATTATAAAATCTTTATTTTTTTAGTGATCTTTTTACCATACAGCTATCGATTTCAGTATAGTAGCATTATCATCCTTCACAGAAGTAGTTGTGAAAAGGCTTTTTTCTGAGTAGATCTGGTTCTTGTTCTTTAGCTACAATATCAGAAGCTACTTTGTTCACTTAGCTTTATAAAGTTAAACCAACAAATTTATAAAATTAAACAGGCAAATTTCCCTTCATGCCAGGATGATTTAGCTCTGGTTGTTACATATTTCTGTATCTACAAGGTGTCTGTGTATCTCTTTCAGTATTTCAGAAACCTGGCAATAAGCCAATGAAAAGCTGCCTCGGCCCCTATTGCTACAACCACAATGCTAGTTCTGCATCCGTAAGTGGTCACATTGAGCATTGCTAAAACGGCTTTCCTTACGGGTTTCACAATCTCTGAGGGAAGCATTTTCACTTTAATTATAGCAAGGTTCATTGGGGGAAGGAGTGAGGGCACAGAAGCCTGAAAATGGAAATTGTCCTCCTCACCATTAGCTGCTGTTGGATGTTCATAAGTTTAAAAATGTGCTCGGAGCAACTGTCTGCAGGAAATGGGGGTGCAGGATGTGACTGGGACTCGGAGGTTAACGTGTAGACATCCAGCTCTCGGTGATGCCTCACAGAACAGTCTCCACACGGGATCTCATAGGATAAACTGCTCCAGGAGTCTGGTTCTCCAGCATTCTCCCTGCAAGTAAGCAATCTCCGGTTAATACAGATGCCTCCCACCTCCCAGGCACAGGTTTAACCCTCTAAGTCTTGTGTCAAATTGCCAGCCGGGCTGCTCTTTGAGGCTCTGCAGGAGGAGCCGGGTCTGGACAGATCCCCAGTGATTCGGGCGCACAACTAATTTCTCCATCCCCCTCACAAGAGACCACAAATGGGTTAAATAAAAACTATTTAACCATCCTCCCTGAGGATTCTGACCAAGATAAAAAGAAGTCTGGGATCTTAAAATAGTTAATATTATGCTAACAACCAAATAATGAGGAAATGTAAGGAGAATGAATAGCTCTAGCCTGGTTTTCAATAGAAGCAAAGTTTATCATTAGGTATTTCTCTTAAAACGGGTTACATCACACACTAATTACAGTCCATTCCACTGGGAAGGGAAGAACCCACACTCCACCCGTGCAGGGCAAGGGCACGCCAACTTCTGTTCACCTTCAAAATTCTCAAAGTCATCTACTTAGAGAAAAATTACCACAATGCCGAGTCATGTGATACTTGTCAATACAATGATCAAACCCTATTTTGAATGAAGCACTTTGGTTCCAAAACTTCAGGTTAAATTTATTTCATTAAAAGACAGACTTCACTCAACTCATATCATTACAAACACAACTTCAGTACAAATAAAGTCAACAAAGGTACAGGTATGTTAAAAAATTCTGAGGTAGGTCTCAAAACATGAAATCGCTCTGTGGTTCTCTCTGAAAAAACCAGTAGATTGATAAAGTATCCCAGAGATTCTGAAGAAGGAGGAAGGTTATGTTTGAGATCATTAGCATATTTTAAATGGAAGAAACTAAAGAATTAAGAAATAAACATGTTACCCACTGACAAATACGAGAGAGAAACATTCCTTCAACTCTCTTTCCAATAGGTATGATTTTGCAGAGAAAACACTGTCACTAACCATTCACCAGAGAATAAGTGGGAGTTGAAGGCTAAAAATCTGCTAGAATGGAAAAGCCATAGCAAACTAAAGAATCACAACCTGGCAGAGGGTAACAATTCAGGCAGCCCCAAAAGAAACCGCCACAGTGTTCGCACCCAAGAGGGACTCCCCATCAGCGGCTTACAATGAAGTCAGCGCATGATATGCTACATGTTTTATGTATTTACCAAGCGGCTGTACTCTGAATAAAGTGACCTCCAACAAAAAGTTCCTGTAAAACAGTCACTCACAAGTTCGACTGAATGACTCACTTAAGAAGTCAATCAGTTCTACCATAGGTGGGAGTGGCAGCTTCTCTGGAAACTCAACTTTGAGGCTTGGTTTGCCATTGTCACTGACGCTGCTTAATTAACTGTCTGACCAACATTACTGGCATGTCTGCTTACTTAGATTCACATGTGTAGCCACACTCCAGTAAGAAAAGGCCTTTGACAGCAAAACGTGATTTGCATACCGTGTTTCAGTGCGAGCCAAACACAAGCTCAGATGGGGCTGCGTGTCAAGGCAGAAACAATTAAAAAGTGATACAGTCCATTCCCAGCAAAAATTAAGTTTTCTACCAATCTTGCCACTATTAAATCTCAAACCTTTCCCTTCTAAACATCTAAACCTCGGGGAAATTCCCTGCTGTAACAACCTGTTTACCATCTACCTCTCCCACGCTCTCCCCTCCAGAGGAATGTGCTTCTGTGGCCATGATTACCTCCGAGTGCTAATAACCCTTCAGCCTCCCAATCCACTGCCCCTGTGGATTTTCGTTGCTTCCTAGGCGGTCTGGAAGCAACAAACTGACTGAAGACTATTCATCGCAATTGTTCTCCCACTGACGTCCATGACTACTGACCCTCTTCAGACCCATCTCGCCCACAGGGGTGGGCAAACCCCACCATTCTGCAGGTATTTACCTGCCAGGCACTACTCTGGGTGCTGGTGATACAAACAAAATCCTTGTCCTGTTGGAGCTTATGTACCCTTAGCAAGGGAGGTAAGAGCACTCAAATTAAATAAAACACCTAGTATTTTGGAAGACAGTGAAAGCTACACAGAAAAATAAAGCAGATATGAGGGTTGCAGTTTGGCGGGGGCAACACTGGAGCCAATACGTCTTCTGCTCTGTGTGAAGTGCTACATGAAGTGCTCTGTTCTGTGTGAAGTCATGCTGGTTGTTATTTTTTTATTTGACATTCTAAAGGAAGAGAGGTCAGTGCCCCCGTCTAAACGGTCAGGTATTACATGTTTGAAAAATTCTCGCAACACACCGGGTGAAAATCGCTGTGTTGATTCATCCCCATAGGGGTTACACTTTCTGTAATTTCCTCAAAGGCCCAAGTTTTACCCTGCCTCCTTCATTCTCAGGTAACCTTTTCTCCCCTCCTAGTGAGAAGCTTGGGGCCATCCAATGGGAGCTAAAATGATCTTTGTATACTAACTGATGCCTCTGCCCGTTCCTCCTAAGTTCAAGGATGCCTCTTCTAAACAGTGGGTCTGCTCTGTCTGCTCCCGTCCTCCTCAGGTACCTGCTTCAGTAATCATCCCTGATGCCCATAGTCTTCCACCTGCTTCTGGACAGGCTCCTTCCCCATGTACCTAAAGAATGATTAAAACCTCAGCAGTAGATCGGGCAGCAGTAATGTACTGACATGACTTCCCTGAAGGAAATGTAAAATACTGGAAATTAATCATAGGGTGGAATTAAAATAATACACTGTAAAGCAGTATCTAGTTTTTCAATGCACTTTCATTATGAACATCATTTCTAATCTTCCAAGTAACAAGGTCAATGTTCTATGTGTAGATGGAGAACAAAGTCTAAGCAAACCAGCCAGGGTTTCATACAACTAAGAGCTACATGAGGGCTAAAACAGGAAGTTCTTAATTCATTCTAAGCAATCTATTCCCAGGCAATTTAGTACAGCAACTTCTGTGGATTAATGAGCTTAAAGAAATGCTTCAAGCAAAACGTTTCTTTACATTTTTTTTACAAAGGTACTAAGAGATAGTCTACTGAACACTTCTATCTGAACCATTAAAATAATTTTCATATTAGCACCCATCCCTAAATGGGTGTGCATATACAAGAGTCCAGAAGATATGTATAGCCTAAGTATACAGAGACTCTTAACTTATGCTGTGTAAACTTAAAATGCAATTCTACACCCTGTGAAATAGAAGGGAACTGTGTCTACATGAGGCAATGACCAAGACACTATTTCTCAGCACACAAAAATGTACTGGGTTCTATGTGAATGCTTGCTTTAAAATGTCCACATGGGTATTTTTCTATTATTGATAAAATGTCCCCAAAGGTCATTAAAAAATAAGACTACAGATGGTGTGCCATTGCATTAAAAATGCATTCTGCCTGGCACCTGGACTTCTCTATGTTGTTCTTAAGTTCACACTTCAAGTTATCTCAAAATATCCCAAGTCCAGAAAATGAATTATCTAGGTTATAATCTTACTCATTCAAACATTCAACAAGTACTCGTGTAGTTATCTACTATGCTCCTAGATGCTAGAAATATGCCAACAAAGAAATAAGACAGCCAAGGTACCTACTACAGTGGAGCTAATATTATAGTGGGCTGTAATTACAAGTAGAGGTAAGTGCCTTAAAGAAAATAAATTTTCTGCCATAAAGGGTGCTTATGGCAGAAAATTCCTTAAAGTGGAATGGCTTCTTCAGATAGGTGGTCAGGAAGACCTCTGAGGAGATATGACACCTGATCTGAATCCCATGAAAGAGCCAGCATGTGAGCTACTGGGACAGGATGTGTCTGGAAACGGGTGCAACAAGTGCAAAGGTCCTGAGGTAGCAACCAGCCGGCCAGTGCGGCTGGGGTACTGCAGCTGTACGAGAAAGCAATGAAAATAAGGGGAATGTAAAACAGAATAATGGCACTAAAATATTAACTATCAGTATTCCTTGCAACAACTTTGATGCAGTTGTCAGTGTCTTTCCATTTTCACATGAGAAAACTAACGCTTAAGGGACAATGTGCCCAGGTGCACAGTGAGTACCTGTAAAGGCCAGAATTGGTACCCAGGCTTTCCGCTTCCATGGCGATAGCTGCTCTGTAACAGCTTCAAACGCTGACCACAATCAAATAATACAAACTGTAATTCTGATATAGTATTCATGAGAAGCTAATCAGGTATGTTAAGTAGGTTCATTATCATAAATTTAATAGGATCAACATCAAGTTTTCAACTGTAGAAAAACACAAATTAAGAGGCTATTCCTCAGAGATGGGTTACAGCATCCAAACTGAGTGTTCACACCTAGCCCCCAAACTCAAGATTTGCGTACGTGGTACAACAAAATTCATGAAGCCCAGAGTGAATTCAACTAATTCCCAGTGTTCCACCTGCTATGCAGCAATCAATAACCAATCCACCTCCACTTCTTACATTGTCCAGCATGTTGCAACTCACGGAAAAGTTCAGGCTGGATGTTAACATACTGTAAAACACTGTCAAATCAACTGCAGAGAAAAACATTTTTCCGGTACTAACAACACTAGTCATGCGGGGGGTGAGGGAGGAGTTAAAAATACATCCTGGTGAGGTACAACAAAAAGTCACATCAAATGTCAGAGAATACACAAGTAAGATCAAGACGACGTCAGTCTGTACTCACTTACGGCTGCCCAAGCACCACGAATATCGCAAGCCCATCCTACTTGGGTCTGGGCTTCATGCTGCAGCTTTACCAGGTCGGTCCTGCCCAAAGGCGTGTTTTGCTGAGTCTGCCTGTGACAGGAAATGCAGCACCTAGTTCCTTATTTGAGGGCCGCTGCAGTATCTTCCTTGAAACCACACCACCGAAACAGTGCCAACCATCAAGGACCCTACACACTCAATCACAACTCCGCCAAAAAGGAGCTGGAGAGGCTCAAAGCAGAAGAGTGGGATCACTGATCCACCTCAAAATGAACAGGAGGCTACTCTCTCTATCTTAGGTGTTTGCAGGGAACTCACTGCTAGATGAGTTACGCATTAATGCA